CGACAGCCAATACACACATCGGAGGATGCGGCGCACAGTTCGAACCGAGCACTTCAGCTTGAGCTGATGATGCAGCTGTGTTTCTAATCAATTATCGCTTGCTACCGTGCAAACCAATACACGAAGAGCACGATCGAGCGGATTTGTGGTCAGCCGGTGCTAATGTAGCCTACGTGACCTCTCACAAAACTCATTAATGCGTCACGTGATTGATTGACATAATGCGCGATGGCGCGTTAGGCCTGCTTCATGCGAGCCCTGAATCCTCCCAATATCTGGAGCGGTTAGCACTTTCCCCCTCCCTAATGATTCAGAAATGCAAAAGACCATCAACACTTTCGCCTGATAGGGGTGTGTATGCTTTTTTGGCCGTATACTTTTGCCGGGCACAAAAAGCGGTTATTTGTATGGGAGCTATGAGATCGATTCATATTATCGATTTGTAACACTGCATAGGGGTAAACAAATGCTTCACATATATTATAAATTAATAACGGCGTCCAACCCGCATTAGTTATAAGGTTATGAGCACCAATGTGGGTGGCCGTATCATGATGTTCTGAAGTGTACTAACCTACCATTCGGTCTTTCAATTGTTGTCTTTATCCTCCCGGAAGATGTGTCTCTATCCACTACAGCCTTCATTCTTCAAGTTGACTGCTAACAAATACGCTAATTTATTTCTCTTGGTTTTATTTGTGCAGGTTACGAAAGATACGACGGACCCATGCACTGTGTTATATCGAGTAAGGCTACAACCCCGGGTCATTGGTCCGGACAAGACACCAACCCAGGACCTGGCCAGCTCGTCCAGGGCGACCCGTGGGTGTCCCTGGTCCAAAACACTCGTTTGAACCACATAATCTAACATCGCAACAGATCCTTCAAATGCTGAAGTGCGAAACGCGTTTCGGATCAAGTGGGCAAGTCATGTATTAAAGTGGCAAGGCCCTTTCAAAAAAAATGTCAAACGGGCCAACATGTACGTCCAAATATGGACTTTAATCCATTAGCCTTGTATACGTAATTGCCGTTCATACATGTGTATCTGTAATAGGCAAATTTCTTCTGCCTTGACTCAGCTAGTTTTGCACTTATTTGATGTAGATCCTGACTATTCCACGATTGATCGGATACATATCATTGTATGTTCACATTGTATAGACGCATGTACGTCTTCCAATCATTATTGTTGCAAGCTTGTATAGGTCATCGATTGTGTTTAGTAGCCATGTTCAGGCGATTGAAGGGTTTGCTAAATGTCGAAGCTAACCACGAGCACCGTTGTCACCATATCTCGAGCAATTGTATATTACCCTCATTTTTGCTATTTTGCTATTTGGCAACGTGAACTAGATCTCAAGTGCTCAAGATATCTCTGTTTCAGCAGATTCATCGTTTGGTTACATCGTGCTGGTCAGCAGGGAGTCCATACTGGCAACAGAGATCCGAGTGGACGCACACGAGAACGTACGCGTCACTTGCATGGTGATCAAGGTATAGAAATCCCGCTAAGCTAACAGAGATCGTTTTTGGCGATGATGCGACTGGCAATGTCAAATTGGGCCGCTGACAAGTTTCATTGTTAGGCAGATAAGTTTTGGAGCTATAAGTTATGGGCGTAGTGCGTTTATTTGTCTCAAAACATTTGATTGTTTTTGTTGTTAGTTGTCGTGTAGTTGTTATTGCAATTTTTGGGCTGCACAGGCGTCAAAGGAGACAAAATACTTTTACATGAACAATTTGTGGTGGTTTTCACATATGTTTGACAAGATCTGTTAATAAGCGGCTGTAAAGATATCGAGATAGCGCCGGTGAGATCTACGATTCTTGTCATTGTTATATGCAGAAGTTGTTGACATACTTTGTCTTTGTCGATCAAATCACTCGTCGTTTTCGAATGATGACTCATCACAGCAGTCCGTAGTAGTTTTTACAAATCGATAAAATCGTTGTTTAGCCATTTTTCCAAACACCTGAGCGCTTGTAAATTACTCGAACTCACATATTTGCTAGAGTCAGTAATAATTTTCCTGCCCGCAAAATAGAGTCTTTCACTTATGCACTAGTTGCCGGAACCGACAAGTATGCCCGTGCTATCTCCGTCAACCTTGAAATGTTGTTTTTTAATTTTTACCAAAGCAGTGGATCTGTGTCGAAGTCTTTCGCTCACCGTATAAATAACGGTCAATCTCGTCATCGAGATCAAGATTCTGGCGCTTTTTGCAGAGTCGACTAGCGTAGGAGTTGACGTCTTTACTTCCAAATTTGATGTAGCCATTTGGCGTTACTCATGTGCAATGTAAAGTTGTGCTCTCAAATAAAACAATTCGCGTACATCCCAAGAGTCGTCATTCGTGTTGCTGAAGGAATACAACTTGATTTGTTAATTTTTCAGTGACGTAAACGGCGACGGGATTCAACACTGTTGCAAGCTTGTAAACGTACTGCCCATTAGCTCTCTCCTTGTAAAATTGCAAATTTCCTCACCATGGCTTTGATCGATGAAATCAGAAATGCATCTCCATATGAGAGAAGAACTCCTTGAATACTCTCCAACAGCATGGAATATACATGTGCAGCTGCCGTAATAGATCGATCTTTAGAAGATGACAAATGCACGGTAGTAAACAAAATTAGCAAAATAAAAGATGACATGTTCAATTTATAAATGTCGACCAACTGCTTCAAATACATCTTCCAATGGTTCGATATGGTTATAAATTCTTGCACAAGAGACCATTCATGTTTGTTAATCCTATTTATAAAGCACTACGTCGCTGAGAGTTTAAGATGCAATGATTTTATTGAGGGTTACCGGTACAATCCGAACCTAGCTCGTAGTTCTTACGAGATAGTTTTTACATCGGTAATTACCTCAGAGATGATTAGACGCGTAGATGATTGGACGCGTGTAAATCAGGTTGATCAGATGCAGTCTAGGGTAGGCAGAAGTTAAGACCTATAAATCAATCATTTTCGAATCCTCCCTCAAGTGAGCAAGTGTTCTCTGCTTCGTTCTCTCCGGTCTCTCCGCTTCGTTTTCTCTTCGCCTCGCGCTCAAGTTACAACAGATTTTGCGAAGCAAAATGCCAGTTAAAACATTGCCAAAGTAAAATTCCACCTCGTGGCTAAATCTTGAACCATCTTCTTGGCTCTGATAAACAACGCGACCAAATACACTAGCATATTGAATTTGAAGTCACCGTGGCGAACCGTTCATGTAATTATGAAGTCCTGAACTCTACATACGATTGTACCTACTGCTTGAAACACAGTGTGAACAATTTTACAGGTCAGATCATTTACAAAATTGAGCCCATACATTCGTTAAAATCAGACCTTTTAATTTCTTCTATCTTGGTCCGCTTGTATCGCATCTGTGGACATAAACATGCTGTTTTCCTGAATGTTTGAGTCAAGTGGTGACCAAATATTCCCAGAAGCCTTATACCAGCATTAGCTATCACATTTATCACACGAGCCATACACCCACGCATGTCATCCCTTTTACTGAACAAGGAAGAATAAACCGTTGCTCCAGGCATGTTGCAATTGTGTCGCTCATTGAAACATTGTCGCTGATGATACAAAAGACCTTGAATTAAAGGTTAAACTCCTCCAATGCATTGAACAGATGCCACTTTATATAATTTCCACTGTGGTCTCCTTCTGTCTCCACCACAGCAACCACCAGATCCCAAAGCTTTCAATTGTCATCAATCCAATGAGCGGTCACTCCCATTACGAAACGATGATTCGGAGAAATCCAGCAAATAAAAGCGATGTTCACTTTGGTGTTCAGGCTAATAAAAGACAATTGCAGCTGTTTATATCCTGCAAATAGCGACGTTAGCAACTGTGTTTGGCTGCAGAATTATAGCATACATGTACCCGGGTAAACATTTCCAGAACATCATGTCTGATCGTATCCGCGGATGCCAACACAGAGCCCGTTGAAGGATTGCAAAGCTCGAGAGGGTCACGCAGTTGTCTATATCCACGAACTGAAGTGCAACAAATGCTCTAGAATAGGTTTGAGCAACGCCTTCTTTAATGTCTGCCTGTTTTGCTAAGGTTTCTGTTTTATGTTATCGTGTTAATACTAAATTATACTCACTCACACTAACTTTTACGATGCACGCACCTTTAAATTGGCTAATTTTAAATACGAACGCGTTGCACCTTGTTCAGGTAGCTAGCTTATCATGTATCTAATACTTGGTCATCAAATGCTTGGACAAATTTGTAATACCACTCATAGCTATGCATACATGCGTACCTCCGCAAAATTTGCTGATTCACCGCTTAGCTTTGGGACATGACAAACAGCTTTACTTTCTTCTCTGAGCCTTACGAAGTACGTCCAAACTGACCTTGTCTTCTTTCCGCCATTGTTACTGGCAGCACCCTCTGTTTGCTGGGTGACGTTGTCGGCGGAGGCGACCGGCGATGCAGTTTCTGGTTGCAGGGGTTTTGTTCCCATTTTTATGGAATGATCTGTATAAATTGGCCGAATACGTAAAATAAAAAATGCTAACCAGTAATCACGAGAGACCGACACAGGCCTCCCCAATCAGTAAAACGTGTGCTAGATTTGGGACGAAGAGCTCGATACAGCATCCCAAACTAGTTATAAAAGTATACGATGTGAGTTGGTCGCAACAGCGAAAATTTGGAGAAAAAATAAAAGAGACCAATTGGCCATTGATCCGGGTCCGACCTTGACCCGGGACCCGGACCAGCCGGGTCAAACACCGTGTCGACCGAATAAAACTGGTCCGGGTTGGAGCTCTAGTATCGAGACACATCAGTGACATACTACTGAATCAAGGTGCAAGTAAATAACTTGGCAAAACTCCAACACGTGTAGAGAAATACAGTCATTTTATTGATACAACCTGCTGGCTGTGAATCTCCAGCAAGCAAACCTAGAATGTAACTCATCTTAACATGGAATGAACATGCGCCATTACCAGCTATTTGCACGCCAATGTACATCAAACATCGCGCGGCGTCGTCTGGCAATACGACCGAGCTCTGAATCGACGCCAGCGGATAGACAGAAAAATGTAGCCAAGAAAGAAATACAGCACTGCGAGCTCCAGCAGGACAATGCTATCCGTACGAGAAGTCCGAGACGTACTCAAGCTGTAGTGCGAGAGCACTTGATCTCCCGAGTGGACAATGCAGTCGTCCTTGTCCTTTTGTGAGCCAGAACTTGATACCACGAAAGTGTTTACGCTAGCAAATGCAGCGCTGCCACTTCCATCGCGACGTCCACAGACGAGAACTTCAGTGCGACTCCAAAAGAGCTTCATCAGAGCTTCAAAGCCATACGTCATTGGCGAAAGATACTGCACCCAATTGAGGAAGTCCGGTATGTCGTCTACATCAATCAGCAAACCGGCAAAGGCTGCAAAGAGAGGCAGTAAGATCAGGTAGGCCATCAGTGCCATACGCACGCGGCCGAAGAGGCCAAGCAGTAGCGTAGCTATACCCGTACTAGTCCAGCTCACGAGCCACATGACGATTTGCATGTAGAAGTAGAGGCTGAAGCCGTGACCAATGCCAGTAAGCCAGTACGCTGGCAGAAACAGCAAAGTAGACAGCACGAGCGTAGCAGGAATGTCCGCCAACACTTTTGTCAAGTACCAACATACCATGGGGTACCGTCCCTGACGGCGCTCCCGTTTGACAATCGACATTTCAAACGGCAGGTAGACTAACGTCCGATACGCCATTACGAGCATTTGCAGCATAATCATGGAGAGAAAAGCTCCAGCCCAGTTCTGGATATCTCGCTGGTTGTCCAGGTCAAGTTGGAAGAAGATGAGACCGAAAAGTACACTTGCAACGATCGCACAAAACGCGTGCCAACCAAAGACAACTCGGTACCGTGCAAGGCTTTGGATCTGACGACTGAACAGAATCGAGAGTTGAGTGCAGCATCCAGCTCGGCGACAAGCAGCAGCTTTTTCACTGTCCGTGGTGCGCTCGTCACTGCTGTCACGAGGACACATATCCACGTACTGAGTCGACCACACTTCCTTTAGTCGTGTAGTCAGGTCATAATCGTTCATCTCGGCTTCGTCATTCCCACCAGATACTAAGCGTATCAAGAAGTCTACAGGGCAGCTGTACCGCGGGCACTGGTAACCCAGAGCAGAAAAGTAAGGTACGGCCTCACTCGCTTTTCCATGGTAAATCGCTGCTCCGCCAGCAAGCAGGTACAATGCATCGAAGAGGGCATACAAATGTGACGACGTGTGTGTCATTGTCACGAGTACAGTGCGTCCTCCACGAGCGAGTCGGCGTAAGGCCAAAACCACGCGCTGGGAAGAGTAGAAGTCTAAGCCACATGTGGGATCCTCGACCAACAGGATCGAAGGATGATTCAGTAGTGCCGTTGCAATAGCGAGCAGCTTCGAATTCACATTTGACAGATTCTGAATGAGAACGTGTCGTTGCGAAGTCAGTGCCAATTCCTCTAAGACCATATCCACGCAGTCAGTCATCTCTTCAGTAGCGCCAGATCCACAACCTGAGCCACAGCCATTGCTTGACTTGTCAGCTATCAGCTGAGCTTGGAACTGCAGATGTTCCATTACGGTCAGCGTCTTGTAGAAGAGATCATCACAGGCCACGTACGCAGCGTGCTTCGAAACTTTGTCTGCTGTTGCTACAACTCCGTTGATCGTCACATCGCCTTCCAACGTCTTTTGTAGTCCACCAAGGCACTCCAGCAGCATTACATTCGCCTCACGCGATGGACCAGAGACAAGCACGAGTTCCCCGCCCTGTGCTGATCCGCTGGCATCACTGAGTAAATCGTGCATCTTCCTGTCTATCTCTGATTCCTTGCTGTTCTTCGGAGCTTCTACCCGCAAGTTACTCCAGCCGAGAGTCACATATGCGACGTTATGCATTGCATGACCAGAACCCCGTGGAGTTTCCACGCGAATGTAGTGATTATCTACTTCTGCAGTAGTGGGCAAGCTGCAATGACTCTTCCGTTTGCTAGCACGATGCAGACTGCTCCTCGTGACTTGCAGCTTCTCGTCAACAGCATTACGAGCAACAGGTTGACCCAAATAGCCGCTAAAAGTCCACTCATATCGCCACTGCAAAGCACTCGTGCGCTTCTTCGCCAACACTAGAAGGAACCAGAATGCTACGAAGAATATAACGACGCAAATAGCAGCTAGAACCAAAGCATCACCTGATCCCGATTCCGACTCCATGCCGTAAAAAATGAGCACACCGTTACCAGTGAAGGCAACACAATCATTCAAAGTCCAGTCACAATCAATCGTGTCCACCCGTTTCCAGAAAGTAGTCATCATAGCCCCGTAGCCGTACTTGATCGGTGAGATGTGGTGCAGCCATACGAGCCAGCCAGGAATATCACCACCATGGATCAAAAGACCACCAGAGTAAACGCAGAGCATCATTAGAGCGGCAAATGCAATGACAGCACGCGTAACATGGCGAAACATACCAATGGTCAACAGTACCAAACCGATTGAAGTCCACCCAGCTAGCACGATGGTAATCTGCATGTAGACATACACCTTGAAACCGTGACCGATTCCAACCAGCAAAAACACGGGCACAAACATGGCGATCGAAAGAAGAATGAGGGATGGGAGCTCGGCTGCGTTCTTGGTGATTAACCAACTCAACAGGGTGAACATGCTTCCGCCATTTTCTTGACATTCTCGCAAGGCAATCGCAGTCTCTCGTGGTAGAAACAAAAAACTGCGGTAGGCACTGAAAATCATTTGCACGACGAGCACGTAAAAAAAACTACCGCAGAAATTCTTGATACCGTGCTCGTCGGTGAGGTCGAGATCAAGGTAGACGAGTCCAAACACGACGCCAATCAAGAGTGCAGCTAGTAAGTGCCACCAAAAGACAAATCCATAACGTGATAGTCGACGTATATGACGAGCCCACATAATCCACAACTGGCTGCAGCAATTCGTTGGACGATCCTTCTTCATTGTACAGTCACTGCCATCAACTTCAAAGTCTTGACTCGTCGCGTCCGTCTGGACTGCGTTCTTATCGTACACTGCTCCACTGTGTTGAGCCCATTCACGCTTCAGTAATTGTAGTCCAGCTGTATCTTCATGATCCTTATCACCGCCACCAACATCCATCTGAAGCATAAAGTGGTCCATTGGGCTCCTGTAGTTAGGGCACGGGTACCCAAGTGTTGACAAATACTCAACACAATCCGACGCCTTGCCATCGTAGACGCACGAGGTGTCTCCAATCAGATAGAGTCTGTCAAAGAGCTCGTACGAGTGAGGATACGGATGATGGACCGTCGTGACGACCGTCAACCCCTTCTCGATCGCAAGCCAGCGCAGTTTAGCAACAACTTTTTCGGCACTTATTGTGTCCAGCCCAACCGTTGGCTCTTCAACGAAAAGAATTGAAGGGTTCGTTAGCAAAGCGGCTGCTACCGCAAGAAGCTTACGCTCACCGCGTGTGAGTCCGCGAAGCGTGAAAATACCACCTCCTATCAACTTGTCGCGGCAACAAGAGAGACCCATGTCTTTCATCACCTGCTCTATTAGCTCTAGACACATCTTGTCGGTATAGGTATGGCTCATTCGAAGGTGCAATTGAGCAAGTAGATGCTCCTGGACAGTCAGCGTCTCGTAAAAAAGGTCTTCACGCACAACGTAGGCGAGCGAGCGATGCATCGTATTGTTCCATGCATGTCCATTCAGAGTCACAATGCCTTCCATGTCGTCTTCATACCCGGCTAGACACGATAGCAATGCTAGGCACTCTTTGTTGGACGGGCCTGTAATGACCAGGAACTCTTGAGCTCTCACCAAACCACTTACGTCGTCAAGCAAAACTTTATTGCAACCAGACAATGTATCACCCACTGCACATTTTTCCCGAGGTGCGTGTTTTAAGCTCAGCTTATTCCACGCCAGCACGCACGGCTTGACTGCACCATTCACCCCCTCTTCAATCTTAGCAAGTTTTCCATGACAAGGACTCGCAACTGCAATGTAATGCTCGTCCGGGTCAAATTCCGGCTCAATGGGATCAATGAGCTCGGTCGGACGGGAGACACTGTCTCGATTGACCTTTTCGATCGAGGCAGCAAGACCAGATGCAGTCGTCAACGTGCCATCGAACGACGTACTGTGACGAAGAGATTCGACTTGAATAGCTGCAGTGGAAGTCTTGCTGTCATGAGACGTCACATCGAATGACAGCTTGCTGGCTTCCTCCCCACCTTCACAAGCCACATTGACCCTTGTATCTCCCGAGCCATTGACGTTCATCGCTGCAGAGTAATCAAACATGTCTTCTTCTCTGTAAAAACCGCAAAATTCACTCGCTGTCATTGATTCAGCTCCCTCAAGTGCTTCAAAGCCAACGCTTCCATTTGCGTCTTTCGATTCAAAAGCTTCCTCGATTTCCATCGGTGTTTGTAACTCCTCCATCGTCATCCGTCGGTCATTTGACTTGCTGACACTCCTCGTCTCTCGAGAAGATCCAAAAACACTGTCTTCATGCTCTTCCAATGTTCTGTAGGACATTGACGACAAAAATGCAGACTGGTCATCAATCGACAAGGTCGTAACAGGTGTAGCATCTTCAGTATCGTCCACGGAGCTCTCAGTAATCGGCTTATCAACACATACAGCAACAATCGATCCATCCCCTCCGGTGTGCTTCTCTTCAGGCTGAGAATGACTCCTTGAGGCACAGCTCCGTTGACTTGCTGCAGTCAATGGTGCTGATGTTTCCAAGACCATCCCATCATATTCAAGTACACCGCTACCAAGAAAACTCGTAGGCGCAGTACTATTGATGTACCAATTTGAATTGTCGCTACCAGCAGTGACAGCGACTCCAGACGATCCTGAAAACTTCCTGTCATTTATGCTGGCAGCTTCAGGCGCATTGAAATCAGCTATTTCGTTCAGAGAAGTATCAAATGTCTCTGATGCAATCGCTCCAGCATCACCCTTTAGTGGTAGCGCAGCCTTCCGTGCAGTTGCCTCGCCAGACTTGTCGAAAGTGACCCAGATTCTTCCAGCAGCAAAATGTTGCTCGGTCTTTTCGTCCGGTTTCATGCTGTAGCTAGTTACCATGGTTGCTGGTCCATTGATGGACAAACGATTCTTTACTTCTCCATCCGTTTCAATCTCGTGGTATGTGCTTGCCTGCTGAGGTACGAGAGCAGGCGCGACCACTGCAGTATCTGATAACGTCTCCACCGTTGCCACATCACCAACATTGTAAGCTTTTCTTTTGTCATCAACAGTGTTGAAGCTACGAGGGACGACACATGTCAATGCTGAGCTGGACGAAAGAACCTCACTCGGAGGTGCAATGATCTTCATCGTCCCTTCATGAGCTACTGTCGTCGTGACATCCAGCTTCACAGAGGAACAAGCAGAGATCGCATTGATGGCGTTGGCTGGCTTCTGTGAGTGGTCTGATGAAGACGATGACCACGCGGCATCCTGTCGACTTCTGTTCCATGTCTCTTGACTTCCCGTTACTACTTTTATACCGCGACTCGATCGACGCAACGATCCGTCACTGGTGACGTCGTCCTCACTTGCAATGCTTTCTGCATCAACCTCATCCAAGCCGTCCACTTCAGCTCCAGTACAAGATCTTGTAGTGCCATTTCGAACGACCATGCGTCGAACTACACGCTCCGGGGATACGACTCGACGAGTGACCGTACGTCGACTCACTCTGCCAGTCGAAGAATTACTCGCAACACTGCTGACACTATCCGAGAAGCTCCTGGCACTACCAAGAGTATTTTCTGCATCTTGAATAACCTGCTCATTCAGGTTCATGCACTCTTCAGTCGGGAAATGCGTTCCGTCCTTCCGAATCAATGTACGTCGAAGGACGCGACGAGTGACTTTCCGTGTGCTCAGCGTCTCGGTAGAGCTTTCGTGCATGGAACCCTGCCAGGCTTCGCTATCACAAGTCTCCACCAATGCACTATCATTGCTTCCAGCGACATTTCCAGCAGCAGCCACGTGCTGCATTTCTTCACCAGCTACTCCTCGTGTCTCCTCTGTCGTTTGAACAGAAGTTCGTCCCGAGGTCTGAACGGGGACCTCAATGTGCCGTGTTCCCTCACAAGCCTTAGAAGAGCTCGATACTCTTCTGCCTTCCGACCGAACGATGTTGCCAAGAACATCAAGGTACTTCACTTCTTCGTAAACTTGCCCATCTGCTTCAGTGCGTCGGACTACGACACGCCGCAAAATCTTGGCGGACGTCGAGACTTGAGGACTGACCATCTTTTGTTCAGCAAAGGCTGCTGACGTCCCAGTCGTCTCATCTTCAGCATAGCACTGTTGCCCACGCTGCTGGACAGCTTTTCCGTCAGCATCGACATACCGCACTTCTTCATGACGAACACGTCCATCGGCGCCAGTCCTGCGGATGACAACACGACGGATCTTCTTGCGTGGTATCTCCAGAATCTCTTGAGTCTGCGTGGTCAAAGCTTGAGAGGACACTTCCACCATCGAAGTCATCGAGTCTTGACCTTTTTCGAAGCTGAAAGGCACTTGCTTCACCACCAAGTTGCCCAGCAGACCATTGGAAAGCAAACCGTCATCAGTCATATCCACTTTGCTCGTCTCGAACTTCGTGTCCACTAGGTGCCTCGCAAGGGATTCTCGACTCGGAGACGACAATTTCTTGGTCATGTGCTTAAGCGACGACGTTGTCCCATGTTCTGACTTGGATCTATCTGACGAGAGCGTGCCCGCATCCGAGAAGCCATCGGAGAGACCCCCTTCTTCGAAAGATGAAGCAGATGTCGCTGAGCCCGGAGTGATCAAGTGTTTTTGAAGATATTGACGAGTACCGAGACCTCCGAAATCCGCCGGTGACGATATCTGACGATTAAGTTCGCGCGACTGTCGATGAGAGTTAAACAGCTCACTACTACCATGAGCAGTTGCATCAGTGATCGATGTATTGCTATTGACTAAAGGACTGACATCGTGGGGGTCAGGGCACTGACTAGAGCCCGTCATTTTCAACTTTCTAAGAACCTAGCAAGGTCTTGCTTGCTGCAATGCAACGCCGGACTTGGTAGACGCTTGAACTCTTTTTTTTCTGTAATGACCTCGAGATTTGAGACTTGAGATGAGGCGACAAAGTGTTTGTAACTCGATACGCTCTCTGGCTTTCGTTCAGTTAATTTTTCAACGTTGTCGGTCGTCACGTGGTAAGTGGGGTAAGCTGCTGGACGTGTACAATGTTTTGACTCTCACGGAGCGATCGACGAGCTGGGCTGAGCTGACTCGTTCGAGTTCAGAGCGACAGATGAGCCATCCTCGATGGTCGTCAAAGTCAGGTCGAAAAGTGATGGCAACGTCGCACGTTCGAATGGACGAAACATTAGGCTCGAGAGCAAGACCGAATCGCTGACTTGTCCACAAAAGATGTTTGCTCTTTTGTTGAAAGGCAGCACAGAACAGGGAATGTCTCCAATCGTAGATCTGAACGACGAAAGCACAGCCTCTCTTCGTGCGGTATCGATGTTACCTAACAAGGCACGTACAAGTGTCAGTCGATTTTTGCTCGATGAGACGCGAGGGACGTCGCCACGACCAGACGATGACATTACGGGATTTGCGTGTTGCACACGTGTCGGATCGTTGTCGTTGGAATCACCGAGCGACAATTGAGAAACAGCCAGAACAGCAAGCGTGAGTTATCTCGTTTTCGTTTGACCAGCGCCACACGATCATTATCAGGGCCAGTAGCAGTGTGCAGCGTCAGGACAGGAGATGCTACAGCCATAGAGAAAAGACGAGGTCTTTACACGATCGTCTACGTGCTTCAACATGTCCAGTGGAGACATCACCGATACTTTGGTCGTTAAAGCGTTACGATTGCTCATATTGTAACGGGGTGAATCGTTACATAACAATTTATTAGAAATTGTTAATAGAATATAACTATAAGAGTTATATTCTCAGAATATTGTCATAAGGACAAATATTCTGTAGCACTTACAAGTAGTTCCTAATTGGTTGATATAGGCCATTATATCAACCAACGAAGACGCGCCACGACAGACGCACGCAATGAGTGGTGAGCAGATAACTGATTTACACATTTGTATTTAGACATAATTAGATGAAGATAAATAGTGATTTATTGCAGACATTAACTATTATAAATACAGTTCTACTTTTTACTCTGACCAAGTACTCGCTTCTTCTTACCGTCTTCCTCTGCACGTACGAGTGTACGTGAAGTTACGAGGCACCGCCTTATTCTGTTATCAGAATAAGTAGCTTGTACTGTCACCAGTACAAGCTTCAGGGTGCACCGTTACACCTGGTAGCACTTTGTAGTCCGTCCAAGGACCGCGTTCACATCCAACATGAATATGTTGGATGATGAAGATGACCAAAGCTTTCACGCTACGCGTGACGGCTACTCCCATTTGAGCGATGTCGAATGGGATGCGGTTGAACGAATGGGTTCGACCATGGGCATCCATGCTGTTAGCGTCATGCTAGAGGCTCTCAATAGAGATGCCCAACATGCTACTATCGCCAAGTTCACCCAAAATGAACTTGACGCTGAACGCGAGAAAGTAGCCTTGCTTCACCAACAAGGTTCTCAACAAGCAGAGTTGTTGAGAGAACAAGGTGCTCAACAGTTTGAACTGTTGAGACAGCAGCAGGCTGCTGCTGGCGGGTCGATGCACTCGCGTCGGCCCGAGACTTTGAAGATTGACATCTCAAAGTATAGGGGGGTCGAAGAAGACTCCCTCTTAAGATGGTTCGTCGAATTGGATGACGCCATAAGGGCGCGTCGCATCGACGACGGGGATATGCAAGTTGCATTTGCCCAGTCAAATCTGGCAGGACGTGCCAAGACTTGGGCACTGGGGCTCAAGCTGCACGACCCATATGCGTTTGGGTCGTTGGAAGTCTTCAAGTCGCGGCTCAGACAAACGTTTGAACCGCCTAGAGCTGAGTTCAGAGCTCGAACCGAACTCTTGAAGCTCAAGCAGGGTAAGCGTGATGTGCACGCTTACGCTCAACATATACGACATCTCACGAGTTGTTTAAGTTCCAATCCAGTGGATGAACACACGTTGGTTTCGGTGTTCATGCAGGGTCTTGCGGATGGTCCCGTCAAGACTCACCTGTTCCGGCTTGAACTAGATTCACTAGAACAAGCCATCTCCATTGCGGAGCAGGAAGACTTCAGTATGAGACAGGCTCGCGCCAGCTCGACATCATATCGTCAACCGAGACGATATGACAACGGAGGTCCAGAGCCGATGGAACTCTGTTATGTAGAGAGCGAGAAGGCTCGCTCTACAGGCTACAAGAAGTTGCAGAGATGCAACAGATGTCAAAAGACAGGACACTACGCTTACGAGTGTAGTGCCCCTCGTCCAGTGTCCCGCGACACTGGGCGTAGTGACCGTCCACCCATGAGAAAGGGGCAGGGACGAGGGTCCGCAGTTGGTGCGAAGACGCAACAACGGGATGGACCGTCAAAAAACGGACAGGATCAGTAGGTGCGGAGCACCCTACTGGTCTAGCAACGTCAAGAGAATTTGTAGGCCTCTTGATGAAGGTTGCTCCCAACACACAAACGTTGTGCGTTGCTGCTCTAGTTAATGAGGTCTCACTCATTACCTTGAAACTCGAAGTGACGAATAAGTTGTCCCTTCGAGCTCTAGTCGATTGTGGGGCGTCCAACAATTTTGTGCGACGCCAATCGCTAGAAGATGGTCACTTTAAATTCAGTGAATGTGACACACCTCCTACGAGGATGACGGTACGTCTTGCGACAGGCGCATCCGTAACCGTCATGAAGCGTATAGTGAAGATTCACTATACGCTAGAAGATACCCAATACGACGATGACTTTATCGTATTGGATTTGGATGAAAAATTTGATGTCATCCTTGGAATACCGTGGCTCAGAAGGTACGAACCACGGGTAAACTGGCAACATCGGACAGTAACGATGCCTGCCGCTTGTTCATCAGATGGCCATCTGATGAACGTTTTGGAGCGTCCACAAGCGTGTGGATGTACTACGAGTGAGTGCGATGGCCTCACTTGTGGTACGGTCGTTAGTACGACTGCACAAAACCTTAGTGCACCAAACGGTTACACTTCGGAGCAAAGTTCCGGCGGCTGTGAGGAAACACAGGCTGCGCCGAAGGTCCACCACTCGAATAAGTCGGGTGGACTGGGACAAAGATGTATCCCTAGAGGGGAACATCGAGAAGAGAAACAATCGATCGCTCAGGTTAAGCGAAACGATAATCCTAGATCGACTGGAGAGTCTTTCGTAGAGGATCTCGCTGTGGTTGCGCAACCCCAGCTAGAGTAGGTAAAGGGAATAAGTCCCAAGATTACAAACACGGCGAAATAAGTTCCCCGAAACCCGCAGGAATAAGTCCCCGGGAAGACGAAGGAATAAGTCCTTCGAAGCCTGAGGGAATAAGTCCCCAGGGTACGACAGAGACATTGAATGTCATAGTCAATAGCGGATCAAGTGTAGGCGCTTATACACTTGATCTGATTGCGCCTCCGAAGTTAGCTTCGGAGATCACTCAGTTGCCAACGCTCGAACATAAAAGGTTCTTGCGTGATCTGCGTAGTGGCAAAGTCAAGCCGATCTGCGTACTCGTCGCTGACGACGAGTGTGTAACCGACATAAGGTCAGCAACAGTGTTTACTGAGAACGAGAGAGTTCTCAGTAGTTCATCGAAGGAAGAGAGTGTCCTAGATGAAAAGACACGAATTGAGCGATATGAGTCCCAATCATGGGAATCGCTCAAGGAAAATCCTCTCTATGAAGATTTGGTTGAATTCAAGGATGTATTCCCTGAAACTGTTCCGTGCGAATTACCGAAGGATAAAGGTATTCGACACGAAGTCGAGCTTAAACCAGGCTCGAAGTACTGTGTCATGAAGCAGTGGCCACTGCCTCGTGAACAAGTACTTGCGATCGACAAGTTCTTTGCCGATCGTTTAGCAGCGGGCCATGTGAGGGAATCAACTTCCCCACATAGCTCTCCGACCTTCTGTGTGCGAAAAGCAACAGGAGGGTGGCGGATAGTGCACGCGTTCAACAAATTGAACGCTGCAACGGTACCGGCTCAGACGCCGATACCGAGGAAGGACGTAATCGTTGATGGTATGTCAAAGAGTACCATCTTTTCGTCCATGGATTTGATGGATGGCTTCTATCAAATCCTAATGCGGGAACGGGATATACCCTATACCGCAGTTAGCACGCCTAGCGGCATGCTCTGGGAATGGCTAGTAATGCCACAAGGGCTCAGTAATGCCCCTGCCACGTTCAACAGATGTGTATCACATCTGTTGAGACCAGTACGAGAGTTCGCGCCGAGTTATTTCGATGACGTATTCATCCATAGTCGAGCTATGGATGGAAAGTCGGACGTTGAGGTTCACAGGTACCACGTCCGACAAGTTCTTACAATCATGCGAAAGCATCAATTGTATGCTAACCTCAAGAAGTGTATATTTGCAGCAAGCGAAATACCACTTCTTGGGTGCATCGTTGGTAAGAACGGTGTCCGTCCTGATCCCGAAAAGATCAAGGCGATCACCGACTGGCCTGTGCCGGTCGATGTCAAAGGTCTTCGAAAATTCCTTGGGCTAGCGGCGTATTTGCATAAGTATTCACGCAATTACGCCGAGATGACTGTGCACCTCTCTCGTTTGTTGAAAAAGAACGAGAGGTGGATATGGAACGCTGAATGTCAACGCTCCCTTGAGGGTATCAAGCAGAGCTTGATACAATCCCCAGTCCTAGCAATAGCCGATCAGGGCAGGCCAACCCATGTGGTCTGTGATGCCAGCGATTTCGCAATCGGCTGTGCATTAATGCAGTACGATCTTGAAGGCGTTGAACGCGTCGTCTGCTATCAGTCGCGTCAGCTGCAACCAGCTGAGCGGAACTATCCAGTGCATGACAAGGAACTCCTTGCCATGAAGTATGCACTCGCGAAGTTCAGAGTCTATCTATTAGGAGATAGACCCTTCGTTGTTTACACTGACCATGCGCCATTACGCACGGCAGTGAACAGCCCGCACCTTTCACAACGAATGGCGCGGTGGTTGTAATTCTTTGCAGAATACAACTTTACGGTCGAGTACAAACCAGGACGACTAAATGTCGTTGCTGATGCACTCTCACGTCGTCCCGACTTTGAAACAGTCGCGAAACCCAACAGTGAGACAGTCACTGTTGCGGTTATGACGTCCTCAGTACCATCTACAACGTTGTATGATGATGTGAGGCGGGCATACGCCCAAGATGGTGAGATAGTGAAGTTGTTGTCACATCTCTCCCAACCATCCCGAGAATCGTTGAAACGATTGTCGCCTGCGTATCGATCTGCATCAGATCGATACACTACTCGTATTGGGTTTACTGTATTACACAGCCGTTTCTGGTGACACACCACGTGTTGTCATTCCAGATGATACTGATCTGCGTTTGCGGATCATGTTCGAGTATCACGATGCTTCTATAGGAGGACATCGTGGCCGTGAGAAAACATATCTCACGGTAAGTCGAGACTTTTACTGGCCCCGCCAGTATCAGTTTGTGCGAAAGTATGTTCGCGCATGCGAAGTCTGCCAACGAGTGAAGTCAAGTCCTTCACTGCGTGCACCTTTACATCCTCTACCGGTTCCGGCTGAGTGCTGGGAATCCATCTCAATGGATTTCTTCTTCGGGTTACCTAAGGACGCACGCGAGAATACGGGTATTCTCGTATTTGTTGACAGATTCAGCAAAATGGTACACCTTGTGGCTGTACCAGAGACAATCACGGCGAGTGGCTGTGCTTGTGTCTTTATTGACACCATCTTCCGACTTCATGGGTTGCCCCGTGAACTCGTATCAGACAGAGATCCACGATTCACTGCTGATTTCTGGCGTTCCGTGCTCAAATCACTCGGAACGCGCTTGAAGATGTCAACATCTGATCATCCAGAGTCAGATGGTCAGACGGAGCGTGCCAATCGTGTCCTCGAAGAGATACTTCGAGGATACGTACACTCCTTTAAAAGTTGGAGTGAGTTTTTGCCAATGGTAGAGTTTGCCATCAACAACTCGGTGCATGCGTCCACGACGCATACACCGTTTTACGTGAATGGATTGCGCCATCCGCGTGTACCCACCTTACTAGAGTGTAACTCTGGTTTAAGGGGGGGAGGGACTCGCGCGAGCAAACACCGATTTGGTTCACGCTCATCACGCTCTGACGAAGAAGTCATTGCGTTTGATGCCGATATCGATAACATCGATATCGAAGAAGATGATGCCAGTGAGAGTGCGGAAGCCCTCACTGAAGACAATGATCCCAGTGAGAGTGCGGAAGCCCTCACTGAAGAAAAGGTTGTTGTCGCTGCAGTGCGCTCACAGCACACTGAAGCTAACGAGTCATCAGATGAGTTCATACTGGCTCGTGAAACGGTAGTCCGTTTTGTGCAAGACTCCATCGCCGAAGCGGTGGATAAGCAAAAGCAAAACGCTGACAAGAATGGAAGGGCAAACACTCTTTTATTTAGTAAAGGTGACTTAGTTTTACTGTCTACGGTTAATCTACCAAAGCATGTAGTGACTAACTTGGGTAGCAGTAAACTACTACCCAAGTACATTGGCCCATTTCGTGTATTGCACCGCCTAGGCAATGCATACACGATCGAGTTACCACGTAAGATGCGAACGCATCCCACGTTTTATGTTGGTCGGCTTAAGCCGTACCATCAGTACGCTGCTTCTTCCGATGAAGAACGCCCTTGCGCTCAAGCATCTCGCAGAGAGCCTTGTGCTCCCGATGGTGGGCATCAACAAGGGTCTGAAGAGCAGTTATCTCAGCCCGAGACCGATCAACAATCCCACGAGCTACCCTTAGCTCGTCACGAAGAGATGTCAGAGATCTCTCGTTCTCAAGCTGAGCAAAGGCAAACTCAGCTCGATGCTTTGAGGCAGTGTCCGCCATTTGGAGACGCCTATTCCGCTCATGCTCGAGATCGTCGCGTAACCCTTGCGTTACGCGATCAAAGAAGCTCTCGGGAACACACCGATCAACATGATCGTGTGGAGAGCGTCTTTCCTCCTCCTCCACCTCCATTAGAGGACTCTCGCGGTGGCCAGCGCTATCTAGTTGAGCAGCTGTTGAACCACCGCGACGTGAACGGACGTCGGACGAGTTATCTCGTCCGGTGGCGCGGCTATCCCCCGTCCTGGGATTCTTGTGATCCCCGATCCCAACTGATGATCGACGTACTGGGTCTGGTCGAGCAGTACGACGCGGCACATCCTGTGCCGCAGAAGGACCGCCGGAGAAAGCCTCCCCGGCACGGTCGTAAAGGGATTTCAGGTTGTCAATCCCTTCGTACATCTCAGTAGAGACACGTACGCGCCACCACGGGCTGGTAAGAGGTAAGCCTCCTTAGGTGCTCGTGCAGAGTTGTTCACACAACATGGGCACGGGTCTCCCCATGAGAGGCAGGGTAATCCTTTCTCCCTTGACAGACGATGCAGCTTGTAGCGTGCACCTGTCGGGGTTCGCTTTTCAAACTTATCACGAGCTTTGATAAGTTTGTCGTTCCAAGCGTCACGACCTACATCCTCGAGGTTATGGATGTAGGCGTTCCACGCCTGAAGTAGTGAGGGACCATCACGTTCGTGATTCCCACTGTACCATCGATGTCTGAAGAAAGCATCGATGAAGAACTCATGTTCAGCGCGATAGTCTTTCGCGCTGGGGTCAAGGTGATGGATCCTTGACGAATCGAACAATCGTGTTCGATTACGATCACTCGTCGTCGCCGACAAGTGATCCATGACAGATTTCGGAGGCATCCATGCCTTCTTTTCTGGAGCGAGACGCAACACATTGCGGTCCCGCTCTTCCTGCGACGTGCCGACAGAAGTACTGGCACCTCGCTGTGAAGTGGTGTCCATTGGAGAACCGACACCACTATTAGCGCCTGAGTCTCGCGACCTCGAGCGCCTTCGCTTCGGCGATGGTTCATCTGATTCGTCAGATGAACCAAAGATGCTACGACGCAAAGCATCGTCCATGCCACACTTGGCAGGCGGCTTGGATTCAATTGCCGTCGATACGGATCCGTCATCCGTATCAGGAGAGTACGAGACACCGAGCTCGTACTCTGTGAAGACATGAGTGTCTTCATGACCAGCGCCTGCATCACCAGGTGACACAGGCTGAGTCGCTTCAGCAACCGATGGGACATCAGTTGCTGTGGTTTCTGCTTCGGCGCCCGCACAGAGACGTGCAGACGCGCTCTCGGCGGCCTTGCTCGCGCATCGCATGCGCTTGTTAACCATGCGATGAGATGTTGGAAAGTGGACGCGGACCAACAAGTGCAAACCCCGTCCCAAATGATTTGGGACGAGTATCCATTTAGTCAATCAGTCACTAAAGTGACTGATGGTTAAGGGGGGGGTGATGTAACGGGGTGAATCGTTGCATAACAATTTATAAGAAATTGTTAATAGAATATAACTATAAGAGTTATATTCTCAGAATATTGTCATAAGGACAAATATTCTGTAGCACTTACGAGTAGTTCCTAATTGGTTGATATAGGCCATTATATCAACCAACGAAGACGCGCCACGACAGACGCACGCAATGAGTGGTGAGCAGATAACTGATTTACACATTTGTATTTAGACATAGTTAGATGAAGATGAATAGCGATTTGTTGCAGACATTAACTATTATAAATACAGTTCTACTTTTTACTCTAACCAAGTACTCGCTTCTTCTTACCGTCTTCCTCTGCACGTACGAGTGTACGTGAAGTTACGAGGCACCGCCTTATTCTGTTATCAGAATAAGTAGCTTGTACTGTCACCAGTACAAGCTTCAGGGGGCCCCGTTACAGATATGACATCACATGACCATGTATGTGCTGTCTTGGGGCTTTGACGGAAGATCACACGCGACGGAGAGATGTGCAGATTAGTGCTCAAGGTCAATCGCGCAGATGAAATAATGTAATGCAAGAAGAACGTAAATAATGCTCTCAATGAATGCTGACGCATGCAAAGCTACCGCAATGACTGTTGTCTGGTCTCAGCCACTGGATGAGTCCTGGCACTTCATGTAATACCAAGGCGATGAGTGGAATTGTTCATGTTTTGCTTCAATAGCCTCGAGTTAGGTTGTTGCTGCATGAACCGATAAATTCTGATCATCCCTCTGGAGATTAGGCAAATACCTAATTTGCCTAATCTACCTCATGTTAGGCACCCGTCCGATCTGGGATGAGGCATATAAGGCATGTCGAACTCTTACTAAAATCGAGTTTCTCAGACAATTACATATAAAGGATACGTGAGCTTAAAACGTGAGCAGAGATATTTGTGTCCACGATCGACTACGTTCACTGCTTTAAGCTGATCATATCAGTAGCGTGCTCGCACTGCAAGCAGCTGAACCGTGAGGGGTCAGTTAGCAACCCGGTAAACACATTGTTGCGAAAGTCGAGCAATGAGAAGTTAGATATCACAGTCGCTTTTGAGGGAAGAGCGAAGCCAGTCTACCACAGTAATGCAAAGGTAAGATTTGGAAGTCAGTCAGGAGCACAGCAGTGTAGGAGACTAGGTTGCTTATTGTAATAAAAGTTACAAGTGAGAATGTGTTGATGTTGATGTGCGCAGGCGAAGGCAAATTGTGAAGTGAATATATTTATGGTCCTTAGTTCGCAAACTTGCTTCGCTACCTCTAAGCCACTCATTTCCTATACTTAAACTCACTATATCAGTCCCGCTGATTTAGCTAGACCAATGAACACCCTTCGATCTTCTCAAGATCTTCTAGAAGGTTCACTGGTTTATCTAGACCAATCAACACCCTTCGATCTTCTCAAGATCTTCCAGAAGGTTTAAGAAGCTCTCCTTGTGACGTCACCCGATGACGTCATGCTATGCTTCTTCTCAGCCAGTCCTTCTCGATTCTTCCAAACCTATACATGAACATAAAAAGCAGTAGACGGTGCTACGTTAACACTCCCACTCATCGCTATTGCTAAATGCCCTTGGGTCCAATGCAGCTTGCTTGTATCAAATAGTTCAGTCGCTTGGTCCCCAGAGCCTTCGTTAGCATGTCGGCCAATTGGTCCATGGTGGAGATGTACTTGACCACGATGATATCGTGGACCACATTCTCCCGGATGAAGTGGTGACGAATGTCAACGTGCTTGGTTCTGGCATTGTAGCCGGCATTGCTGGCAAGCCCAATTGCTCCTTGATTGTCTTCCCAGACCCACGTTGCTCCCACTTGCTCGTGACCTAGATCCTTAAGCAGCGCACGAACCCATAACACTTCCTGTGTACACAGGCTTAAAGCCATGTACTCTGCCTCAGCAGAGCTTAGAGCCACCGTGCGTTGATACTTGGACTTGTTTATTGCTGGTGCGCCACCGATGATCACCATTATCCCTGACACGGAGCTTCGATCATCGATGTTGCTACCCCAGTCCGCGTCCATATACGCTGTAGCTGTTACTTCGCTAGCGCTGCCGTCGTAGATTATCTTGTAGTCTCTTGTCGTCTTGAGATACCGAAGAACACGAATGGCTGCCTTCTAATGTTGCTGACCTGGATTCTCCAAAAACCTTGATAACTGCGTGATGACATACATCACATCTGGGCGCGTACATGTCGTGATGTATAGCAAACATCCGATCAGCGACCTGTACGGCTTTGACTGCATTTCTACTCTATCGACATCCGTCGTTGGGGATTGCTTCTTTGACAGCTTCAGGCCGGACTCGCATGGGTTGACCACTGCCTTTGCGTCCTCTTGATAATAACGGCTGGCCACATCATCGATGTATCAAGTCTGTCGAATCATCAGCTTACTGCAGTTGTGGTCATGATCAATCTCCGCGCCAAGAATAAATTTAGCCTTGCCTAGCTCCTTCATACGAAATGAGCTCTTAAGTGCTGTCTTGACCTCTTGAATCTCCCTGCTGGTCTTGGCGGCGATGATCATGTCGTCGACGTAGAGACAAACGTAGACATAGTTGTCATCTTGATGCTTGACGTCGATGCACTGATCTGCTCCGCTGCTACGAAATCCAATCCGTAAGAATACAGCATGGAATGGCTTGTTCCACGTACTTGCAGCCTGCTTGAGACCGTAGATTGCCTTGTCCAACTTGCACATCATCTTCTCCGCATTAGCTATGCCATTTAGCACTTCCATGTACACCTCTTCCTTGAGAATACTATTTAAGAACGCCGTGTCTACGTCCAGCTGCTCAGTGACGTATCCCTTTGTCACCACCACAGCAAGCACAACCCTGATCAAGTTCATGTTTGCCACGGGAGAGTACGTCTCGAAGAAGTCGACACCGAATTTCTGCTTGAACCTCTTTGCGACGAGTCGAGCTTTGTAGCGCACCACTTGTCTGTGTTCGTTTCGCTTCTTAGCGAATATCCATCTGCACCCGATTGGTCGAGTGTCTTGCCGTTTTGGTACCAGTGTCCAGGATCAGTTATCGGCGTGCGCCTTGAGCTCCGCTTGCATCCCTTGAATCCACTTGCTGTTGTCTTCGCCTTTTAACGCTTGGCTTTATGTTGATGGATCTTCGTCCGTCTCGCCAACGCTTGCAGCATAGGCTAATACAGCCTCTGCAATGAGACCTTCGTCATCAATTCTTGCACGCTATGGAGAAGGTGGTCCATCGCTATCTTCTGACGTGTCTTCACTGCTATTCCCATTCTCAAGCAGCAGCATTCTGTCTCGTGAGCGTCTTGTCCGATTTATCTCCGGCTGAAATACCAACCTGTCTTCCTGAAAAGCTTGTCTCGGAGCTTGATATCCCGTTATCTCATCGCCTCTTGGTTCTTGAGTTTCTGGATCGAGTACTTGAGGTATAATGATACCTGTTTCGAATGAAGCCGATTCTATCTCGAACATCTCGACATCAGGAGCGCTTTCTTCGACATCTTCCATCGTCTCGTCTCCATCATACGGACGAACCACCGGAATCACCTGCTTCATCAGTGTCCCTAATATACTTAATGACTGGTACTTTATCCGGTACCACCGTGTCGTAAATGCCTTCAACTTCCCGCTCGTCCAGCTTTACGGAGCGCGATATGACAACCTTCGACCTTTCCAGATTGAACACCCTGTATCCCTTGGTGTTCTCCGCATATCCGAGGAACATACACCGGTAACTCTTTGGTTCGAGCTTCGTCCTCTTGGCGTCGATTACCTCCCAATGTACACCTCTCCATATCCGCCTCGACTGAGCAGCTCTTCGATGTGAGCATACCCTTGCGATCCAAACACACGCAAATGCTCAATACTCGGCTTCATTTTGAAACTAACCTCGAACGGTGTTACGTCCGAATTTTCAGAGTTTGTGGATCTGTTGATCAAGTACACAGCCGTACTGACCGCCTCTGCCCACCACTGCATGTCGATACCCTTGTAGTACAACATGCTCCTTGCTTTCTCCATGATAGTGCGATTCATGCGTTCCGCAACGCCGTTCTGTTGCGGACTATATGGTACTATCCGCTGGTGCATGATACCGTTACGGGCGCATATATGGAAAATCTTCTTGTTGACAAACTCCGTCCCGTTTTCCGACCGTATACACTTCAAGTGCTTGCCCCATTGATTCTCAAAGAAATCCTTAAACTCGCTAAGCCTTGCGGCCACCTCGCTCTTGTGCTTCATGAAGTACGCTGCCACTAATCTTGAGTAGTCTTCCACGAATGTCAATACGGATCGTGCACCACCCTTTGAGACCGTCTTTATCGGTCCCATCACGTCCGTGTGTACTAGTTCCAACACATGTGACGTCCTTGTTAGCGACTGAGACGGGAATGTATCGACCGTCTGCTTGCCCTTTCTGCATCCACTGCACAGCTTCTCGATGCCCGCTTTACCGCAAGCATACCACTCGTAGCGCGCTGTGTCTTGTCCATACCAGATCTTTCGGGGTGTCCCAAGCGAGCGTGCCAAACCTCCCACTCACTTTCAGCCCATGCGTATTCCACAAACCGAGCTTCTTCTTGTTCGCAATCCAGGAAGTAAGCCTTGCCAATCTTCTTGCCGCTTGCAATCGCGCGCTTGGCACTTTAAATGATGGAGGACGAGCTTCGAAACTCCACCCTCATGCCTCGTCCTGCCAGTTTGCCAACGGACAGCAATCGTTTGTCAAGTCCTGGTATGTGCATGACCTCGACCATCATGGTCCGCCGACCGTCCAGACCTTTCAGATTGACCGTTTCCACTCCAACTCCCTGGAGCTTCTTTTCATCAGCGATAGAGACTTGTTGACCAGTATTTAACTCCTTGTACTCAAAGAGTTCGCTCCGATGTGGTGTCATGTGCGACGTAGCCCCACTGTCGATAAGCCATTCTTCGCATCGCAATTCACCAGCAGCAAACACAGCACCTTCTTCCTCGGAATTGCTACGCTTCAGGCAGTCCCGCTTATAGTGTCCGACTTGACTACACTTTAAGCACTTGCCTCAAATTCCGGTGTTGGTTTTCCGTAAACAGTTTCCCTTGCGGCCATTACCTTGGCCTCCCTTGAACCGTCTACCGTTGCTACTTACAGGAAACGCCTTCTCCGTAGTCTCCTTTCTCTACAATCAATCACGCTCCTTCAACAGCTTTTCCTTGACCTCGATGAGCGTGATATCATTGGATTCTCCTTAATTGACGAGATGAGCTCATACTCCGTCGGATGACTGCAAAGCAGCACCACTAGTTGCCGAGAGTCATCGACTGTCTCTGCAAGTGTCTGGAGGCCGACAACAAGCTCGTAAAAAGCATCCAAGTGCTTCGACGTGGTCGAACCATTCTCCATCTTGAACTCATGCAGACGACGTGTCATCTCGACACGATTGTGGAGCGTGGTGCGGTTGTAGAAGTCCCGCAAGATGACCAACGCGTGCATAGCTGTCGTCGCCGATCGTATCTTGGTCTGGTGCTGTAGCTCTATGCCTTGAGCGATGATACCCAGTGCCTTAGCGTCGTTGAACAGCCAGGCATCCGTCATCTCTTCTTCTTTCTTGATGACTAGAACGTGCACCAGCAGCCCCTTGCGCGCCAACGTCATGCGCATGTTATACTCCCAGTGGAAGTAGTTTCCACTACCCAGGAGGACTTCACACCGCTTGTTTATCATGGTGGACGTGGTGGCTTGGCGGTTTGGAGCGCGTTGCGGCTGTTAACGTGTTGATGTTGATGTGCGCAGGCGAAGGCAAATTGTGAAGTGAATATATTTATGGTCCTTAGTTCGCAAACTTGCTTCGCTACCTCTAAGCCACTCATTTCCTATACTTAAACTCACTATATCAGTCCCACTGATTTAGCTAGACCAATGAACACCCTTCGATCTTCTCAAGATCTTCTAGAAGGTTCACTGGTTTATCTAGACCAATCAACACTCTTCGATCTTCTCAAGATCTTCCAGAAGGTTTAAGAAGCTCTCCTTGTGACGTCACCCGATGACGTCATGCTATGCTTCTTCTCAGCCAGTCCTTCTCGATTCTTCCAAACCTATACATGAACATAAAAAGCAGTAGACGGTGCTATGTTAACAGAATGAATGAAAAATGGTTCTCGCAACTCGAGGCATCATGCGTTCGATGCTTCTCCCTCTAGTCTCCTCTGTGGAGGTTATAAAATTCAATTGAAATGACCAGCTTAGTATGCTGGCCATGTTGTTGCATGTGTAAAGAGGTGAATCGTTACATAACAATTTATAAGAAATTGTTAATAGAATATAACTATAAGAGTTATATTCTCAGAATATTGTCATAAGGACAAATATTCTGTAGCACTTCCAAGTAGTTCCTAATTGGTTGATATAGGCCATTATATCAACCAACGAAGACGCGCCACGACAGACGCACGCAATGAGTGGTGAGCAGATAACTGATTTACACATTTGTATTTAGACATAGTTAGATGAAGATAAATAGTGATTTATTGCAGACATTAACTATTATAAATACAGTTCTACTTTTTACTCTAACCAAGTACTCGCTTCTTCTTACCGTCTTCCTCTGCACGTACGAGTGTACGTGAAGTTACGAGGCACCGCCTTATTCTGTTATCAGAATAAGTAGCTTGTACTGTCACTAGTACAAGCTTCAGGGTGCCCCGTTACACCTGGTAGCACTTCGTAGTCCGTCCAAGGACCGCGTTCACATCCAACATGAATATGTTGGATGATGAAGATGACCAAAGCTTTCACGCTACGCGTGACGGCTACTCCCATTTGAGCGATGTCGAATGGGATGCGGTTGAACGAATGGGTTCGACCATGGGCATCCATGCTGTTAGCGTCATGCTAGAGGCTCTCAATAGAGATGCCCAACATGCTACTATCGCCAAGTTCATTCAAAATGAACTTGACGCAGAACGCGAGAAAGTAGCCTTGCTTCACCAACAAGGTTCTCAACAAGCAGAGTTGTTGAGAGAACAAGGTGCTCAACAGTTTGAACTGTTGAGACAGCAGCAGGCTGCTGCTGGCGGGTCGATGCACTCGCGTCGACCCGAGACTTTGAAGATTGACATCTCAAAGTATAGGGGGTCGAAGAAGACTCCCTCTTGAGATGGTTCGTCGAATTGGATGACGCCATAAGGGCGCGTCGCATCGACGACGGGGATATGCAAGTTGCATTTGCCCAGTCAAATCTGGTAGGACGTGCCAAGACTTGGGCACTGGGGCTCAAGCTGCACGACCCATATGCGTTTGGGTCGTTGGAAGTCTTCAAGTCGCGGCTCAGACAAACGTTTGAACCGCCTAGAGCTGAGTTCAGGGCTCGAACCGAACTCTTGAAGCTCAAGCAGGGTAAGCGTGATGTGCACGCTTACGCTCAACACATACGACATCTTACGAGTTGTATAAGTTCCAATCCAGTGGATGAACACACGTTGGTTTCGGTGTTCATGCAGGGTCTTGCGGATGGTCCCGTCAAGACTCACCTGTTCCGGCTTGAACTAGATTCACTAGAACAAGCCATTTCCATTGCGGAGCAGGAAGACTTCAGTATGAGACAGGCTCGCGCCAGCTCGACATCATATCGTCAACCGAGACGATATGACAACGGAGGTCCAGAGCCGATGGAACTCTGTTATGTAGAGAGCGAGAAGGTTCGCTCTACAGGCTACAAGAAGTTGCAGAGATGCAACAGATGTCAGAAGACAGGACACTACGCTTACGAGTGTAGTGCCCCTCGTCCAGTGTCCCGCGACACTGGGCGTAGTGACCGTCCACCCATGAGAAAGGGGCAGGGACGAGGGTCCGCAGTTGGTGCAAAGACGCAACAACGGGATGGACCGTCAAAAAACGGACAGGATCAGTAGGTGCGGAGCACCCTACTGATCCAGCAACGTCAAGAGAATTTGTAGGCCTCTTGATGAAGGTTGCTCCCAACACACAAACGTTGTGCGTTGCTGCTCTAGGTAATGAGATCTCACTCATTACCTTGAAACTCGAAGTGACGAATAAGTTGTCCCTTCGAGCTCTAGTCGATTGTGGGGCGTCCAACAATTTTGTGCGACGCCAATCGCTAGAAGATGGTCACTTTAAATTCAGTGAATGTGACACACCTCCTACGAGGATGACGGTACGTCTTGCGACAGGCGCATCCGTAACCGTCATGAAGCGTATAGTGAAGATTCACTATACGCTAGAAGATACCCAATACGACGATGACTTTATCGTATTGGATTTGGATGACAAATTTGATGTCATCCTTGGAATACCGTGGCTCAGAAGGTACGAACCACGGGTAAACTGGCAACATCGGACAGTAACGATGCCTGCCGCTTGTTCATCAGATGGCCATCTGATGAACGTTTTGGAGCGTCCACAAGCGTGTGGATGTACTACGAGTGAGTGCGATGGCCTCACTTGTGGTACGGTCGTTAGTACGACTGCACAAAACCTTAGTGCACCAAACGGTTACACTTCGGAGCAAAGTTCCGGCGGCTGTGAGGAAACACAGGCTGCGCCGAAGGTCCACCACTCGAATAAGTCGGGTGGACTGGGACAAAGATGTATCCCTAGAGGGGAACATCGAGAAGAGAAACAATCGATCGCTCAGGTTAAGCGAAACGATAATCCTAGATCGACTGGAGAGTCTTTCGTAGAGGATCTCGCTGTGGTTGCGCAACCCCAGCTAGAGTAGGTAAAGGGAATAAGTCCCAAGATTACAAACACGGCGAAATAAGTTCCCCGAAACCCGCAGGAATAAGTCCCCGGGAAGACGAAGGAATAAGTCCTTCGAAGCCTGAGGGAATAAGTCCCCAGGGTACGACAGAGACATTGAATGTCATAGTCAATAGCGGATCAAGTGTAGGCGCTTATACACTTGATCTGATTGCGCCTCCGAAGTTAGCTTCGGAGATCACTCAGTTGCCAACGCTCGAACATAAAAGGTTCTTGCGTGATCTGCGTAGTGGCAAAGTCAAGCCGATCTGCGTACTCGTCGCTGACGACGAGTGTGTAACCGACATAAGGTCAGCAACAGTGTTTACTGAGAACGAGAGAGTTCTCAGTAGTTCATCGAAGGAAGAGAGTGTCCTAGATGAAAAGACACGAATTGAGCGATATGAGTCCCAATCATGGGAATCGCTCAAGGAAAATCCTCTCTATGAAGATTTGGTTGAATTCAAGGATGTATTCCCTGAAACTGTTCCGTGCGAATTACCGAAGGATAAAGGTATTCGACACGAAGTCGAGCTTAAACCAGGCTCGAAGTACTGTGTCATGAAGCAGTGGCCACTGCCTCGTGAACAAGTACTTGCGATCGACAAGTTCTTTGCCGATCGTTTAGCAGCGGGCCATGTGAGGGAATCAACTTCCCCACATAGCTCTCCGACCTTCTGTGTGCGAAAAGCAACAGGAGGGTGGCGGATAGTGCACGCGTTCAACAAATTGAACGCTGCAACGGTACCGGCTCAGACGCCGATACCGAGGAAGGACGTAATCGTTGATGGTATGTCAAAGAGTACCATCTTTTCGTCCATGGATTTGATGGATGGCTTCTATCAAATCCTAATGCGGGAACGGGATATACCCTATACCGCAGTTAGCACGCCTAGCGGCATGCTCTGGGAATGGCTAGTAATGCCACAAGGGCTCAGTAATGCCCCTGCCACGTTCAACAGATGTGTATCACATCTGTTGAGACCAGTACGAGAGTTCGCGCCGAGTTATTTCGATGACGTATTCATCCATAGTCGAGCTATGGATGGAAAGTCGGACGTTGAGGTTCACAGGTACCACGTCCGACAAGTTCTTACAATCATGCGAAAGCATCAATTGTATGCTAACCTCAAGAAGTGTATATTTGCAGCAAGCGAAATACCACTTCTTGGGTGCATCGTTGGTAAGATCGGTGTACGTCCTGATCTAGAAAAGATCAAGGCGATCACCGACTGGCCTGTGCCGGTCGATGTCAAAGGTCTTCGAAAATTCCTTGGGCTAGCGGCGTATTTGCATAAGTATTCACGCAATTACGCCGAGATGAATGTACACCTCTCTCGTTTGTTGAAAAAGAACGAGAGGTGGTTATGGAACGCTGAATGTCAACGCTCCTTTGAGGGTATCAAGCAGAGCTTGATACAATCCCCAGTCCTAGCAATAGCCGATCAGGACAGGTCATTTCATGTGGTCTGTGATGCCAGCGATTTCGCAATCGGCTGTGCATTAATGCAGTACGACCTTGAAGGCGTTGAACGCGTCGTCTGCTATCAGTCGCGTCAGCTGCAACCAGCTGAGCGGAACTATCCAGTGCATGACAAGGAACTCCTTGCCATGAAGTATGCACTCGCGAAGTTCAGAGTCTATCTATTAGGAGATAGACCCTTCGTTGTTTACACTGACCATGCGTCCTTACGCACGGCAGTGAACAGCCCGCACCTTTCACAACGAATGGCGCGGTGGTTGTCATTCTTTGCGGAATACAACTTTACGGTCGAGTACAAACCAGGACGACTTAATGTCGTCGCTGATGCACTCTCACGTCGTCCCGACTTTGAAACAGTCGCGAAACCCAACAGTGAGACAGTCACTGTTGCGGTTATGACGTCCTCAGTTCCATCTACAATGTTGTACGATGATGTGAGGCGGGCATACGCCCAAGATGGTGAGATAGTGAAGTTGTTGTCACATCTCTCCCAACCATCCCGAGAATCGTTGAAACGATTGTTGTCTGCGTATCGATCAGCATCAGATCGATACACTACTCGTAACGGGTTACTGTACTATACAGCCGTTTCTGGTGACACACCACGTGTTGTCATTCCAGATGATACTGATCTGCGTTTGCGGATCATGTTCGAGTATCACGATGCTCCTATAGGAGGACATTGTGGCCGAGAGAAAACATATCTCACGGTAAGTCGAGACTTTTACTGGCCCCGCCAGTATCAGTTTGTGCGAAAGTATGTTCGCGCATGCGAAGTCTGCCAACGAGTGAAGTCAAGTCCTTCACTGCGTGCACCTTTACAGCCTCTACCGGTTCCGGCTGAGTGCTGGGAATCCATCTCAATGGATTTCGTCTTCGGGTTACCCAAAGACGCACGCGGGAATACGGGTATTCTCGTATTTGTTGACAGATTCAGCAAAATGGTACACCTTGTGGCTGTACCAGAGACAATCACGGCAAGTGGCTGTGCTTGTGTCTTTATTGACACCATCTTCCGACTTCATGGGTTGCCCCGTGAACTCGTATCAGACAGAGATCCACGATTCACTGCTGATTTCTGGCGTTCCGTGTTCAAATCACTCGGAACGCGCTTGAAGATGTCAACATCTGATCATCCAGAGTCAGATGGTCAGACGGAACGTGCCAATCGTGTCCTTGAAGAGATACTTCGAGGATACGTACACTCCTTTAAGAGTTGGAGTGAGTTTTTGCCAATGGTAGAGTTTGCCATTAACAACTCGGTGCATGCGTCCACGACACATACACCGTTTTACGTGAACGGCTTACGCCATCCGCGTGTACCCACCTTACTAGAGTGTAACTCTGGTTTAAGGGGGGGAGGGACTCGCGCGAGCAAACACCGATTTGGTTCACGCTCATCACGCTCTGACGAAGAAGTCATTGCGTTTGATGCCGATATCGATAACATCGATATCGAAGAAGATGATGCCAGTGAGAGTGCGGAAGCCCTCACTGAAGACAATGATCCCAGTGAGAGTGCGGAAGCCCTCACTGAAGAAAAGGTTGTTGTCGCTGCAGTGCGCTCACAGCACACTGAAGCTAACGAGTCATCAGATGAGTTCATACTGGCTCGTGAAACGGTAGTCCGTTTTGTGCAAGACTCCATCGCCGAAGCGGTGGATAAGCAAAAGCAAAACGCTGACAAGAATGGAAGGGCAAACACTCTTTTATTTAGTAAAGGTGACTTAGTTTTACTGTCTACGGTTAATCTACCAAAGCATGTAGTGACTAACTTGGGTAGCAGTAAACTACTACCCAAGTACATTGGCCCATTTCGTGTATTGCACCGCCTAGGCAATGCATACACGATCGAGTTACCACGTAAGATGCGAACGCATCCCACGTTTTATGTTGGTCGGCTTAAGCCGTACCATCAGTACGCTGCTTCTTCCGATGAAGAACGCCCTTGCGCTCAAGCATCTCGCAGAGAGCCTTGTGCTCCCGATGGTGGGCATCAACAAGGGTCTGAAGAGCAGTTATCTCAGCCCGAGACCGATCAACAATCCCACGAGCTACCCTTAGCTCGTCACGAAGAGATGTCAGAGATCTCTCGTTCTCAAGCTGAGCAAAGGCAAACTCAGCTCGATGCTTCGAGGCAGTGTCCGCCATTTGGAGACGCCTATTTCGCTCATGCTCGAGATCGTCGCGTAACCCTTGCGTTACGCGATCAAAAAGAAGCTCTCGGGAACACACCGATCCACATGATCGTGTGGAGAGCGTCTTTCCTCCTCCTCCACCTCCATTAGAGGACTCTCGCGGTGGCCAGCGCTATCTAGTTGAGCAGCTGTTGAACCACCGCGACGTGAACGGACGTCGGACGAGTTACCTCGTCCGGTGGCGCGGCTATCCCCCGTCCTGGGATTCTTGGGAGCCCCGCTCCCAATTGATGGTTGACGTACTGGGTCTGGTCGAGCAGTACGACGCGACACATCCTGTGCCGCAGAAGGACCGCCGGAGAAAGTCTTCCCGGCACGGTCGTAAAGGGATTTCAGGTTGTCAATCCCTTCGTACATCTCAGTAGAGACACGTACGCGCCACCACGGGCTGGTAAGAGGTAAGCCTCCTTAGGTGCTCGTGCAGAGTTGTTCACACAACATGGGCACGAGTCTCCCCATGAGAGGCAGGGTAATCCTTTCTCCCTTGACAGACGATGCAGCTTGTAGCGTGCACCTGTCGGGGTTCGCTTTTCAAACTTATCACGAGCTTTGATAAGTTTGTCGTTCCAAGCGTCACGACCTACATCCTCGAGGTTATGGATGTAGGCGTTCCACGCCTGAAGTAGTGAGGGACCATCACGTTTGTGATTCCCACTGTACCATCGATGTCTGAAGAAAGCATCGATGAAGAACTCATGTTCAGCGCGATAGTCTTTCGCGCTGGGGTCAAGGTGATGGATCCTTGACGAATCGAACAATCGTGTTCGATAACGATCACTCGTCGTCGCCGACAAGTGATCCATGACAGATTTCGGAGGCATCCATGCCTTCTTCTCGGGAGCGAGACGCAAGACATTGCGATCCCGCTCTTCCTGCGATGTGCCGACAGAAGTACTGGCACCTCGTTGCGAAGTGGTGTCCATAGGAGAACCGACACCACTGTTAGCGCCCGAGTCTCGCGACCTCGAGCGCCTTCGCTTCGGCGATGGTTCATCTGACTCATCAGATGAACCAAAGATGCTGCGACGCAAAGCATCGTCCATGCCACGCTTGGCAGGCGGCTTAGATTCAATCGCCGTCGATACGGATCCGTCATCTGTATCAGGAGAGTACGAGACACCGAGCTCGTACTCTGTGAAGACACGAGTGTCTTCATGACCAGCGCCTGCGTCACCAAGTGACACAGGCTGGGTCTCTTCAGCAACCGATGGGACATCAGTTGCTGTTGTCTCTGCTTCGGCGTCCGCACAGAGACGTGCAGACGCGCTCTCGGCGGCCTTGCTCGCGCATCGCATGGGCTTGTTTACCATGCGATGAGATGTTGGAAAGTGGACGCGGACCAACAAGGTGCAAACCCCGTCCCAAATGATTTGGGACGAGTATCCATTTAGTCAATCAGTCACTAAAGTGACTGATGGTTAGGGGGGGTGATGTAACGGGGTGAATCGTTACATAACAATTTATAAGAAATTGTTAATAGAATATAACTATAAGAGTTATATTCTCAGAATATTGTCATAAGGACAAATATTCTGTAGCACTTCCAAGTAGTTCCTAATTGGTTGATATAGGCCATTATATCAACCAACGAAGACGCGCCACGACAGACGCACGCAATGAGTGGTGAGCAGATAACTGATTTACACATTTGTATTTAGACATAGTTAGATGAAGATAAATAGTGATTTATTGCAGACATTAACTATTATAAATACAGTTCTACTTTTTACTCTAACCAAGTACTCGCTTCTTCTTACCGTCTTCCTCTGCACGTACGAGTGTACGTGAAGTTACGAGGCACCGCCTTATTCTGTTATCAGAATAAGTAGCTTGTACTGTCACCAGTACAAGCTTAAGGGGGCCCCGTTACACGTTACGAACAAAGAGGTAACTTCTGGCTCCATGTGATAGAATTATGGAGACGGAAAACTCGCGTAGGTTGTTATACCGTCCACGAAGGCAGGGCAACTCCCGGGCCACATCGAATGTGGTGAGGGAGTCACAGGCGCTTATAGCTAGCTGAAATCGTGCTTAGCATTCATCGCATGGATTAAGGCTTGGTGCTGCGCTGGATCTAATTAATCGCAGTCTCGGACCAGGACAAATGGATGCGATCTCTCTAGAACAAGAAGAGGCGTCCGACGTCACGCCCGAAACTGCAACCAGCTCGTGTGGCATAGAAGGATGAATGGTCTGCTCACAGGCCTAATTTGGATGTCTCGCATGGCGATGAGGTCAATGATTTCATCCAGTTTGTCGGAGGGAGGACGGGCCTGTTGTGCCAGTAGTCATCAACCTGAAACGGAGCTGCTCCATTTAGGTTGATTTCCGACTCAGCGGGATGCGGTAGATTTGTAGACGTTGAATCACAGTGTTGACGGTAGAAGTCAGCGACGCTGTGATGGCGTTAATCAGCCACCAGGATGGGTGAGCTGGTGCTGTTGTGCTGCGTGCAGGCGGCATAGTACTGTAATGAGCCAGCACCTCAACGCGATGTGCGTTTAGCCATGCGGGTACCCTGTACTGCGAATGCCAGCGCGTGAAGCTCATCTTCGGGCACATCGATCGCATATTGTCAATAAGCCGTTCCTGACGCCGTAAATGACTAACCATGGCGAAAAGCGTCGTCATGAAAACACCCCCTTTCAGAGTCATCCACACCTTTTCTAGGTTAGTCTCCAATTGATACAACAGGCACAAGACGCGGATGAACCCAGGTCGTGTCAAAGCCTACTGCAGCATGGTCACCACACCTTGGACAGAATCAGTCATGTTGCGTGCACTGTCAGACGACGCTCCAATCAGCTTCTTCCTCAAGCTCGCGCATAGCGAGTCTAGCAGCTTGATATTCGGGTTGAAATGGACCAGGCCAGCATGACCGCCATCAATTGGCAGAGCAGCGACTTGGTAGTTGCACATTCAACCTTGCCACACGAAGCGGATGCGCAATTCACTTTATAACGTGTCCAGGAACGTGCTACCATCCAGCGCCAGGGCAAACGCCCATTGTAGACGAAGTATGCTGGAAAAAAACCTGAAAGTTGAGAGCACACTGCAGTAGAGCGAAGGTTCCTATTTTATACTCATTCACACCGCCAAGTTTAGCACAGCTTGTCTCTTTCTTGGTTTCCTGAACAGCTAGCGCAGTCTGCTTGAAGTTCGTGTCGACGGCGAAGAAGTTGATCGTCAGGAGGAAGAGCACTGAACATGTGATCGTCACATGTAACGGGGTGAATCGTTACATAACAATTTATAAGAAATTGTTAATAGAATATAACTATAAGAGTTATATTCTCAGAATATTGTCATAAGGACAAATATTCTGTAGCACTTCCAAGTAGTTCCTAATTGGTTGATATAGGCCATTATATCAACCAACGAAGACGCGCCACGACAGACGCACGCAATGAGTGGTGAGCAGATAACTGATTTACACATTTGTATTTAGACATAATTAGATGAAGATAAATAGTGATTTATTGCAGACATTAACTATTATAAATACAGTTCTACTTTTTACTTTAACCAAGTACTCGCTTCTTCTTACCGTCTTCCTCTGCACGTACGAGTGTACGTGAAGTTACGAGGCACCGCCTTATTCTGTTATCAGAATAAGTAGCTTGTACTGTCACCAGTACAAGCTTCAGGGTGCCCCGTTACACCTGGTAGCACTTCGTAGTCCGTCCAAGGACCGCGTTCACATCCAACATGAATATGTTGGATGATGAAGATGACCAAAGCTTTCACGCTACGCGTGACGGCTACTCCCATTTGAGCGATGTCGAATGGGATGCGGTTGAACGAATGGGTTCGACCATGGGCATCCATGCTGTTAGCGTCATGCTAGAGGCTCTCAATAGAGATGCCCAACATGCTACTATCGCCAAGTTCATTCAAAATGAACTTGACGCAGAACGCGAGAAAGTAGCCTTGCTTCACCAACAAGGTTCTCAACAAGCAGAGTTGTTGAGAGAACAAGGTGCTCAACAGTTTGAACTGTTGAGACAGCAGCAGGCTGCTGCTGGCGGGTCGATGCACTCGCGTCGACCCGAGACTTTGAAGATTGACATCTCAAAGTATAGAGGGGTCGAAGAAGACTCCCTCTTGAGATGGTTCGTCGAATTGGATGACGCCATAAGGGCGCGTCGCATCGACGACGGGGATATGCAAGTTGCATTTGCCCAGTCAAATCTGGCAGGACGTGCCAAGACTTGGGCACTGGGGCTCAAGCTGCACGACCCATATGCGTTTGGGTCGTTGGAAGTCTTCAAGTCGCGGCTCAGACAAACGTTTGAACCGCCTAGAGCTGAGTTCAGAGCTCGAACCGAACTCTTGAAGCTCAAGCAGGGTAAGCGTGATGTGCACGCTTACGCTCAACACATACGACATCTTACGAGTTGTATAAGTTCCAATCCAGTGGATGAACACACGTTGGTTTCGGTGTTCATGCAGGGTCTTGCGGATGGTCCCGTCAAGACTCACCTGTTCCGGCTTGAACTAGATTCACTAGAACAAGCCATTTCCATTGCGGAGCAGGAAGACTTCAGTCTGAGACAGGCTCGCGCCAGCTCGACATCATATCGTCAACCGAGACGATATGACAACGGAGGTCCAGAGCCGATGGAACTCTGTTATGTAGAGAGCGAGAAGGTTCGCTCTACAGGCTACAAGAAGTTGCAGAGATGCAACAGATGTCAGAAGACAGGACACTACGCTTACGAGTGTAGTGCCCCTCGTCCAGTCTCTCGCGACACTGGGCGTAGTGACCGTCCACCCATGAGAAAGGGGCAGGGACGAGGGTCCGCCGTTGGTGCAAAGACGCAACAACGGGATGGACCGTCAAAAAACGGACAGGATCAGTAGGTGCGGAGCACCCTACTGATCCAGCAACGTCAAGAGAATTTGTAGGCCTCTTGATGAAGGTTGCTCCCAACACACAGACGTTGTGCGTTG